ATTGTTTATTTTCAAATTTGGGAAAACACTAGAGGGACTTTTATAAAGTTATTTGGAGAACAAAATATATCTAGAAATTAAAGAACAACAACCAATTTCCACGTGAAGAAGCAAACTAAAAGATTAGATCCACGCACGTAGCAGCTGGATTCATCCGTGATTCAGGTGTGAAGATGGTCCAAAAATAGAACACCATTCATTAACAATTGTGGATGTAAGTCACATTAATTTTGATGGAGACAACACGACAGTTAAAGTGACACACACACAGGCCCAGTAACACCATTTAGTGACACACACAGGCCCAGTAACACCATTTAGTGACACACACACACAAGTCCAGTAACACCAATCATTGATACACACAGGGCCAGTAATACCAATCAATGATACACACAGGCCCAATAACACCACTCAGTGACATATACGGGCTCAATAACACCACTCAGTGACATACACAGGCCCAGCAACACCAATCATTGATACGCACAGGCCCATTAACACCACTCAGTGACATACACAGGGCCAATAACACTACTTCTTGCTGGAAACAACAGAAGTATCTCAACGTAAAATGTAATGAACATTTATGAAACGTATATTCGAATTTTTCAAAATGGCCTGGAAATCTCGGGGTTGCAGGTTCGAATCCTCGTCACACTGAACATGATCGCCCTTTCAGCCGTGGGGGCATTATAACGTGACGGTCTATCACTAGTAAATTAGGGATGGCTAACGTAGATAGCCCTTGTGTAGCTTAGCGCGAAATTCAAAACAAACTAAACTGTTTCAAAATACGCAGGATCACCATAGGTTAATTCTGCTGATATCTAATGTTAACATATTGGAAAAGCTTCAACATTCTGTGGTGTGTGCCGTTACGACAGCATTGAAAACAAGTTTCACAACGTGTTTTCATAAGTCTCCTTTTTTGCAGGATCAAACATTCAATCGTGGTGTTTACTGTGGTTCTCCATCGTTCTTTCGTAGCTCGCACTATTTCAAGCTTATCATTTCCAATACATTTTGCCATCCAGTGGCTCTGCGGTAGGTTTGTGGACTTAAAACGTTTAAAATTGGGTTTCGATACCTGTACTGGGCACAGCACATATAATTTATTGTGTGGCTTAACAACAATCAAACAAACAAATCGATACATTTTCTAATGTCATTGAGCAAAGTGGGTTTCTGCCTGCCTCTCGCTCTTCTTCTTGCGATTTTACCCATTATCATATTTGCCAACCTTCCCTCAGATCTGGTTGTGAACCTAAAGTAACGCATATTCTGTTTCCTGCATATGTCCAACAATTTTCGATTTGTTTATTTACGTTCCAATACTCCCTCATTAGGTTTTCTGTTTTTTCTTTCCATGTAACTTATCTAATGTTTTCGTTACTCTTATTCAGTACTCATCCTTTATATATAGTTTCCTTAATATTACTGGTTTATAAAAAAAATTCTTTCTGATTTGCCCTCCAGTGGCTCAGCGATAAGACTCGAGGCTTATAACGCTAAAACCTGGTTTGGATACTCGCCGTGTGCACAGCACAAATAGCTAATTGTGTTTCTTTGCGCTTAGCTACAAACAAACAAACGTATTCATTACTTGCTGTTAGCTTATGTATGGATTAAGGATTAATATAAACATTCTAAGCTGTCCGGACCACGTGAGGATTACGGGCGAAAATATATCCATAGGTAGAACACACAACTGATGAACCCATTTGTAATTATTATAATTATCGTCCATAGGTAGAACACAGAACTGATGAATCAAAACATTCTAATTATCGTCCATAGGTTGGAGTACACAATTGATGAATCAATACGTTCTACTTATCGTCCATAGGTAGAACACACAACTGATGAACCAATTTGTAATTATTATACTTATCGTCCATAGATAGAACACAGAACTGATGAATCAAAACATTCTAATTATCGTCCATAGGTAGAACACAGAACTGATAAATCATTACATTCTAATTATCGTCCATAGGTAGAGCACACAACTGACGAATCAATATATCAGTACTGATACATTCTAATTATCGTCCATAGGTAGAACATAGAACTGATGAATCATTACATTTTAATAATCGTTCATAGGTAGAGCACACAACTGATGAATCAAAATATTCTAATTATCGTCCATAGGTAGAGCACACAACTGATGAACCAATTTCTAATTATTGTAATTATCGTACATAGGTAGAACACAGAACTGATTGTTACGACACCGGAAGTCACGGTAACACGTGATGAATTTCTCAAATGATCATGAATTATCAGGGAAGACCGAGTTTGTTTGAGACGCCCTCTTTTTTAGTATATAAGCCTGGCAGATAAATCCTGCGGGAATGAATGAAGAGAGTTCCAGGTAATTTACGATTCTGTTTCGAGCTAGTGTTTTGCACTCGTAGAAAGTGAAGTTATCGAGATTTTGAATCGCTGTGATTTATAGCGTGTATTATAAAAGTAGTTAAGTTTAAGGTGACGAGAAACGTACTGACTGTGAAACTACTGTGTACTAAAAGTTTATATCGAGAAAGAATAAACTGGGTTAATCAAGAAGGGACTTGTATCGTTGAAGTTCCTTGGAAAGAGTTTCTACCGGAAATTAACAAACAAGCAGATACGCAACATGATGAATCAAAACATTCTAATTATCGTCCATATGTAGAACACACAACTGACGAATCAAAACATTCTAATTATCTTCCATAGGTAGAACACACAACTGATGAACCAATTTATAATTATTGTAATTATCGTCCATAGGTTGGAGTACACAACTGATGAATCAATACGTTCTAATTATCGTCCATAGGTTGGAGTACACAATTGATGAATCAATACGTTCTAATTATCGTCCATAGGTTGGAGTACACAATTGATGAATCAATACGTTCTAATTATCGTCCATAGGTTGGAGTACACAATTGATGAATCAATACGTTCTACTTATCGTCTATAGGGTGGAGTACGCAATTGATGAATGAACAAAATCTACTTATTATAGATTTTATTTTAGTTGTGAATCGATACATGCAATTAATAATTTCTTTGCGGTTTGTCATTACAGCATTGGTTTCAGTTGTTAAAAGTTACCTTACTAAATTATTTTAGGTGTAGTCTATAGAGTAGGTAATTTTTATCAGAAATTTTAATAATTATAAAAGAACGGTACTGTTAAGACTAAAATGTGTTGACCTGTAATCCACCTTTTATAAATTCTCCGAAAATAATTGAAATTTTAGAAAAAGAGACATTTTATCAGTCTTACTTAGAGATGGGAGGATTTGTTTACTTTGACTGCCCAACGTTAGACAGGTGAACATGGGTGTAGGATAAGCACGCCTCATAGCGTTTCATTTATTACATGGCAGTAAATTTGAGTCTGCGGGGGACGGAGGGGGTGACAAGTAGGCACGTTCTCTACTGTTAAGTCGACCTTCAACAACTCCTTGCGTTGAAGGCCGTTAAACCCAGTCTTGCTAGGCTTAATAAACGTAGGAAAAGTCGTTCGGTTATTGCTGCAAGAGTAAGATGTGTTGAGTTCCATACCAAATCATAGCATCAGACAGGTAAGACCTAAGGCTCTCATTTTTCCCGTGTTTTTAGGATACAGTAGAGTAATTTCATATGTTAGGTGATAACGTTTCAGATTACAGTTGTATTACACCTTTATTTATTTAGTAAAATCATGCGAGTTTCGTTATTGGTCGTAACTAGAGGACATGATGTGAAAACACTGCCAAAGAGTGAAAAAATTAGCATATCACACATAGGCACGAACAGCGTATTTATAAAGAATTCTAGAAAACAATTTAAAAGTTTTATTAGTAGGAGAGAATACTTAAAACAAAACCCCAATAAGTAATACGAAAAAACAACAACAATAATATATGCTTCATAGAATATCAAAGTTAGTCTGTGAAAACTCAAAAATATGACCCGCTTCTTCTGGAATAAAAGATAGACTAATGTTACCTATTTTCGTACGTTTCGTTCATATTTTCAACTTATTAAAGCTTTTTTAATGTGTTCACCACGTGTTAGCAGTTAATGCTGTTATGGTCTACGTTTGGTTACTAAATGTTCTTTATGACGTTTCAAAGTGTTATTAAGTAAAACCCCTGCCCTAAACATTAAACTAAATATTATAATGTAATAAGCTCTAAACCTAAAGACACATATATTGTCCTAAACCTTAAACTACATATTTTAGTGTCTTAAGCCCTAAATCACATATTATAATGTCTTAGAGTTAGTCTCCTACTGTATTTTCCTCAACCTTAAATCTCATGTTATAATGGCTAAAACCCTACATCGCATTTTATGTTCCCCTAAACCTAAGTCACATAGTATATTCTACTAAATCTTAATTTACATATTATTATGTTCTAAATGTTAAGTTATCAACAGCAATGTTATAAACCAAACACTCGTTTTAATGTCTTAAATCAAAGAATAGCCGATAAGTATTGTTTAAGATAGGAGTTATATATCTGTCAATAGATCATGCATAATGTATAGCGCTATCAGTATTAAATGTCCATATATAACATATTACCTTATTCGTTAATTGTTCATGTAAAGTTTTATTACATTATCCGTGTTAATTTTTCATGTATAATTTTATCACATTATCTGTGTTAATTTTTCATGTATAGTTATATTACATTATCTGTGTTAATATTTCATGTATAATTTCATCACATTATCCGTGTTAATTTTTCATGTATAGTTATATTACATTATCTGTGTTAATTGTTCATGTATAATTTTATTACATTATCCATGTTAATTGTTCATGTATAATTTTATTACATTATCCGTGTTAATTGTTCATGTATAATTATAGTATTGTTGCGTCATCGAGATCACGTGACAATTCTCACGCTCTCTTGTTTCTAGAACTATCCCGTATCTTGGCGAATGGTCTAGTATTGCTAGATAGGCTGGGTAGGGTAGATAGGGTAGGCTGGTATATAAAAGAAGAGGGGTAATGTGTGTGTAGATAGTGAGTAATTGAACTGCAGTCAGAGAGCACGAGAGACGTTCGTTGCTATAGCGTTTGTTTAGCGCGTTTGTTGTGTGTATCGGTTAAGGTATATTCGGAA